GGGAGGATGGGTTAGCCTGGTGGTGGGTATTGAGGAGGGCACATTCTGCGTGGAACACTGGGTGTTATGCACAAACAATGAATCATAGAACACTTCATCTAGAACTAATGATGTAATGTATGGGGATTAACATAAGAATAAAAAAAAATAATAAAAAAAATAAAAGAAACAAAAACAAACAAACAAACAAAAAAAACCAAAATGAAACAAAAAAAAAGAATGAGGATTCTCAAATCGCACTGCCTTACAATCTCATTTTTATTTGCTATTTTCAGTATCCTTTCCTATCCATTTCATTTTTATTCTTAAAACAGCACTAGAAGGTAGTCAAGGCAGGCATTTTTCCCCCTTTCTTCCAAGTTATAAAATTGAGGTACAGAGAAGCCAGAAACCAAGAAAATGAGTTTTGGAGCCAAGGTTTCATGACCTCCGTGACCCTGGATTCCTTCCACCGGGACAGTTGTACTTCTCTAGAAGTTGTGAATCACGATTTCATAAGCTGTGGTTTCCGAAAGAAAAATAATTTTAATTTGTCTGGCTGCAGAATCAAACTTCATGCCCAGTAACAAAGTAAATAATATGGATATAGATATACAGAAGAAAATATCAAAAGTATGGGGCACCTGGGTGGCTCAGTCAGTTAAGCAACTGCTTTCAGCTCAGGTCATGATCCCAGGATCCTGGGATCGAGTCCCATGTCGGGTTCCCTGCTCAGCAGGGAGCCTGCTTCTCTCTCTCTCTCTCTCTCCCTCTACCCTTCCACTCTCAAATAAATAAAATCTTTTAAAAAAAAATATTGAAAGTGTTGAATTTGAAGGTCCACACAGAGGAAAAGAAACAAGTCGGATGGGTTCCTAGCCAGACACTTCTAGATCTGCAGTTTGACAACTGCGTGACTTTGAATAAAGGACAAAAAAAAAAAAATAAGTACTAGTATTTGAATATAAAGTGTATGGCTCTTTGCTTGTCATATGGTAGGGACTTAGACAAATTTTCACTATCCTTTGTCTACAAAAACATGCTTCTTCCTTTAATCGGTCAAAGTTAAAACTAGGTTTTAACATCTGTTTTTTTTTTTTTTTTGCAATAATGATTTAAGAAATGCTATTCAAACCAAAAAGGACAATGGGGAGATTATAATAAAATTATAGCACACATATGTAATATACATACTAATGAGTATGATTTACATTCTAAAAGGAAAAAGAAATCAATGTGTTTCAGCTTATGAAGCATTTGAAGCAAGTGATTTCTAAGTTTTCCTCTGCCCTGAAATTATAAAATATTGTGGAAAGGAGAAAAGGGAAAGCTCTTACTTCAATTCGACTCCCTTCCTCTTACTAGAATATTAATCTAAGACTCCAAAATGCTGTTTAGACATTTATAAATGATGGTGGTGGAGGGGAAAATATTTCCTTAAAAAATCATGCTGGGGGCACCTGGGTGGCTCAGTTGGATGAGCAGCAGACTCCTGATTTTGGTTCGGGTCACTACCTTGGGGCCCGGGGATAGAACCCTGTGACCTGGCTCTGTGCTGGGGGCAGGGGGAGGGGGATGTCTCTCTCTCTCCTTCTCCCTTTGCCCCTCTCCCAGCTTGAGTGCGTGCATGGGCATACTCTCTCGTGAGCTCTCTCTCTAAAAATAAATAAATAAATCTTTAAAAAAAAAATCATGCTTCCAAGTCAGATACTCCTTTATCTTCCTCTGAGCCATTCTGAAGCAGCCTGGAAGGGGGAGGGAAGCTGCATCTTCAGGGATACACAATCTTTTCCAGCTTCCTCATTCACCTCCTGCTTATCCAGGGCTGGATTAGTTAGCCAAATGCCCTTGGGTCTGCCCTTAGATACATATTTCTTTTCTCTTTTTTGTCTAATTTGTTCACAGAATGTATGTCCTTGGTCATGAAAATTATATCATTGGGTGATAAGATTTGAGAAACTCCCCTCTTCCCTTAGAGCTTAAATTTAAGTCCTGTTTCCAGCTAAATTACCAGAGAGCTTTGCACCAAGGATTATGATGCTTATGACATCAACAAACCTAATTAATAAAGTGGATGTGACATTTCCCATTTGTCATTTTCCCTTGTGCTAAAGCCTTTCAGTAACATCATGGGGGAAAGTAGCAGCAGTGTGGCGCCTGGGTTGTGTGTGTGTTGTGTGGGGGTAGGAGGGAGGGTGTTTATGGACCCTAGTGAGCCCCCTGGTCATAATACGTTAGAGTTCTGTCATCAACCTGATTCTGCTCCCAGAAAGGCATAATAGAAATGGAGAAAAGAGAATCAGGCAAGATTGGAAAGGTGGGGAGGCCAACTGAGGCAATTTTTTTTATTATTATTATGTTAATCACCATACATTACATCACTAGTTTTTGATGTAGTGTTCCATGATTCATTGTTTGCATATAACACCCAGTGCTCCATGCAGTACGTGCCCTCCTTAATACCCATCACCAGGCTAACCCATCCCCTCACCCCTCCCCTCTAGAACCCTCAGTTTGTTTCTCAGAGTCCATAGTCTCTCATGGTTCATCCAACTGAGGCAATTTTAAAACATGAATCACTCTTTACAATTTGGAAATCTCAGACTAATATTTAACAGTCACACTGAACAAAGCAAGAATGTTTGTAGAAAGTTTTTAAAAAATATTCTATTAACTAAATGTATAAGTTCCAAGATATAAAATATACTTAAGTGAAGGACACTAAGTGGCAAAGTTTTCCAGGAAAAAAAAAAAAGAAACTAAGAAATATTATCAATTCTGTTGTTGTAAATGGAAGCATGTACCTAGGGGCATGTGTGTGCACGTGTGTGCGTGTGTGCGTATGTTCTTTTGATAGTGATAGGGAAAATGGGTATAGGACCAGTTTCTAACTCTTAAGGAATGTTTGATGATGGCTAAAATTCTTGTTAAAAAACAAAAAAACAAGCTCTGACAATGACAGAGTAGCTAAAATAAAGGTTTCTACCGATGATAAGTATTTAAAAGTCTATGCAGGAACACCAGATAAATTACAAGCAGAGGCTCAAGCATTTGCGTTTAGGCCAATCCTTGGTGTTGAAAGCAACAGTATCACTCCCACACTACCAGTAAGAAAAAATGGCTCATTAGAGCATCAAAATTTTCCTTGAGACTAATCAGAGAACTGAGGCTACATGGCAACCAAGTGACCCCTCTTCCAAAGAGAAAAAATATTCTTCAAAGAAAGATAAGACACACAAACTGCTGCACTTTTGGGAGAGCACAGGATATGATAAAAGTGTGTAAGACGAAATCCGCCAACGGTTTAACTAATAATCTTCATTCTCTGCCTAGAGATTTCATCCATAGTGGCTGACACCACAACTGGGCCAATTTATGGAAACTTCAATTGGATGCACTCAACATTTGAACTTTCACAAAGGGCATTTTACACTATTAGGAACTATAATATAGTGGGAAGATTGTCAAATGCAAGAAATTTCTGATAGACATTGTCCTAATCTAATCTTTCTCATTTTCTCTTCTTTTGAAAATCTGTTCTAAATTCAACAGTGAATCATTTCTGAATCTGTCATCTTGCCCGGGGTTGCCTGAATATGGAAGAGAAAAGGGATGGTGGAATTCAGTAAGGCGAGATGGCTCCTTTGTTTGCTTCTCAGCCTCAGAAAACATGTGCTCCATACTAACAATTCAATGAATCATCTCATGGTGAGTTATAATTAATTTTCATTTTAACTGTTAGGAGTTGATCTCCTGGAAAGAGGGAAGTCTACATATATACAGTGAAAGTTCTTGGCCAAAAGTTTTAATATAATCATCAAATCCGTGCCTCTTAAATCACTTAAGCCATTGATTCTATTAGTTCTATCTTTAAATCAATAATGGCGATTACATTTGAAAGGCTAAAGTTGTTGTGTTTTTACTTTAAGTCCTATTAAACTGCAGAAGACATGATTTCACTGATGGTAAGATTACTGGTATTATCCACGAGAGCAAAACTAAGTAACTTTTGAAACGTTAAATCAGGCACTGGTCAGAAAATGACTATCCAAAACTGCTGGAACCCCAAGTAGGATATATTCTACACAAACATTTTGAGAGTGGGCTCGGCTGCCTAGGCTAACATCTGAGTCTCATCACTTACTAGCTGGAGACCTTAAGGCAGGTTCCTTGACTTTTCCAACACTCAGTTCTCTCATCTGCAATACCTGGATGGCAATAATATTTAAATAAGAGGGAAAATATGCTGTGAAGATTGAAAAGCTAATCCACGTAAGCTGGCAGTCTGACAGGTGGAATAGGATACGGATGACCACGTGAGGTAAGTGAGGCCAGTGGTAATATTGTGTCATCCCCACTATATTGACACAGAAACTACACCTCATTAAAAAGTTACATCCCTTGTTAAGAAGCCAGAGCTGGTAAATTATAAACTCAGACTGAAAACATGTTCGGAGACTTCCAGATTTAATTTGTTTCCTTTGTATCAAACTTCCTCACTGAGATACGTAGTTTGGTCTACATATGCTATCGGAATCATAAACGTTTCTGGTGAAATCTTTTTCAGATCAAGAGATTAATAAACCCATGTAAAATGGGAGATACCAAATTCAAGTAGTTTTTTTTTAAAATGTTCTCTAAATTCATAGATTACAAAACGACTGAAAATCATCCAAGATCAATCTCGACTTTGAATATTCAACACATCATTTTACTAGGGAAATTATGGTTAATTTATTGAATTATTAGTTAAATTGACGGTGACTTCTCAAAATAATTCTTTTTCATTTTCTTTAAGACCTTATATGCAATTACTAATCTAAATTGCAATTGTAGAACTAAGTAATAAAAAGTGATCACAACAAACAACACTGGTGTACCAATTAAAGCAAAAATTTTTTCACAGCAGACAAATACCCTCAAAATGCCAAAGCACTTACTGCAGCTTGCCGATGAGTATTGGACAATATTCCATGAATCTTCACTTTGTCCTTTTCCATCTGGTCTATGTTCACCCACAAACTCCGGCTGGCAGAATCAGATGGACCATATATCCGAGATATATAGTAATTGTGATCTGTGTCCTCCTATAATAAAAGAATAATGCACATCAAGAACAGAGACAGCATGGATGGGCCTTGAGGATGTTATGCTAAGTGAAATAAATCAGACGGAAAGACAGATACTGTATGTTCTCGCTTACATGTGGAATCTATAAAAGCTGAACTCATAGAAAAACAGAGTAGAATGGTGGTACCAGGGGCTGTGGAATGGGGGGAAATGAGAAGATGTTGGCTAAAGAATACAAATTGCCAGTTATAAGACAAATACCTTCTGGGGATCTAATCTACAGCATGGTGACTATAGTTAACGATACCGTAATTATAAGATAGCTAAGAGAATAGATGTCTCACTACAAAAAAGAAATGGTAATTATGAGATGTGATGGAGGTGTTAGCTAATGCTATGGTGGTAATCATTTTGCAGTATATAAGTGTACCAAATCAACAGGATGTACACTTTAAACTTACACAATGTTATATGTCAACTGTATATTCCAGCCTCAATAAGGCTGGAAAACAAAGAAACATTTAAGTCAATATATACCTAATTTATATAATTGACAGAGATGTAGAGAGAGTTCTATTAAAAAAAGAGTCCTCCCCAAAAGGAAAGGAAAAAAAAACCCCTAGAGATAGTGTCCCTAAAATTCTTAAAAAACAAACAAAAAAATGATACTATGAAACTAGACATGCTACTATCCTTCAAAATAGCCAGAGGAGTTAAATAACCTCTAAGGAAATCGAATTAGATTTAAAAATACATAAAATAAGCCTCTTTAGAGGAAATTCTTACATAAATAAAACATAGAGGAAAATGTATACTCTGTTTACAATAGTCTTTTTACCACAGTAATTCTAGGGATCTAATTGCCGTCCAAACAAAATGTCACTTTTGGAACTATTTACTGAAAACCTGAACTATAATTACTACTGAGTGACAACAAATCCAAACTTCTCTTCTTTAAAACTAGGGCCTGCTCTCAGTTAATGATCCTAAGAATGGAAATAATTCATTTTTCCCCTATAATTTGGGTTATTAAATTCTACTTTTATTTGAATTCTCACTATTGATTATCACCATAGTGCCTGTCACAAAACCTTTAATTTTCATGTTTCTCACTCAATGAAGAGATTTAAATGTTTTAAAAGGGGATACTGCTGAGGAACATCCAGAACAATCACATGATTCTTGCCTAACTCAGGTTGCAATGAATTTTACTTTTTTTTTTTTTTTTACCATAAAATGTAACTGTGCTTATCAATTTGAGGAGTCTGTTAGATAAAATATATTTTAAAACATTCAGGTATATGTAAGGATAATGTCTGGTAAATAGAGGGTATATGATTTGAATAATAAGGTTTGGAAGGTGAATTTCATCTGATGCATTTGTTCCTGAGGTGCTAATTAAATAAAATACAATTATTCTTGAAATCTAGTCAAAACAGGAATTCCATGTACCTTTCATAGTCATCAGACTAGAAATATATAAAACTGACTACATAAAGGAAAGGAATTTTCTAAGCAGTATTCTAAATAGATTTTGCCACATGACTAAAAGAAAAAGTATGACTGTAAATATAAACCTTGAGAACAGTGATTCCATGTTAACAGTAAGATATATATATAAAAAAAAAAAGTCCTAGGTAAACCTCCAACCTCTAATTAAACTCTAGGTATCACATGCAAAATATGGGTGTAACCCTGATGAAAGAGAAAAAAGTCCTTCAGCGAAAGAAGAAAAAAGGAGACACAAAGAAAGAAGCATGAGTAAGATTCCGTGCAGCCCAAGAGATATTAATATCCTAGTGGTTTTCTAGCACTCCCTTCCAGAACATTATGGCCCTGACTGCCTGGGTTCTCGGAGGGGAACAAGCATTTGGTTGTGTCTCCAACACGTATTCAGCTCCTCCCTGCTGTCTGGGGGCTTCACCATGGAAGCTGTGAGGTGGGTACTCTCTTCGACATTGGGCACAAGCCATTCGACACCTGTCATTCCACTGGCTACAACAGCCTGTGGGCATCAGAAGCACATAATCTAAAACAGACCAATTAGTGAGACATGGAGAAGTTTATATAAAAAGGAGATAATTTCCCTTATTCTGATTGCTGAGCTGGGTAGGCGTACGACTTAGCACTATTGCAACCATTTTGCTACCATGAGGAAACCCCAATTGATGATAAAGCAAACGCTGATAGAGACGAAGTCATTATCTCTGCAAACAAACAAACAAAAAAGCCATCTCCCTCATCCAGTGCCTTTAGTGCATCCTGGGCTTGTTCACTTAGATGAATCATTAAATTTTTTCAATTGTTAAAACATACCTTGAATTGAGTTATTGTCCACCAAAAGAATCCTGACAAACAAGTTCCCCTAACTTCCAACCAAAAGAGACTTAACTTAAGCAACATTGAATAAGGCAATCTTCTCTACAGACTTACAGATCTGGATAACAAACATCTATTCAATTCTGGTATTCTAGCTAATTACACAGCAGGAATGGAAACTTGTATCTAAACTGCTGGAAATCATCAAGCCTGAATTACAAATGACAATGATTCATTTCATTTTTCAATGAATCACATATAAGGGGGTTGTGAAAGAAATAGTCAACAAGTTTAATAAAAATTTTAATTTTTCTCCCTATTGCTAGTATTATTCTAAAGAGTTCAGCAACACTGAGGTCAGAGATGTGCTCTTTAGGTGAATTATGTAACAGAGTCTATGATGCTGCCAAATTACCATATAAATACCAAATAAATATTCTCTTCAAAATTACAGACTTTCAGTATAGAGTTCAATATAATTGTTGCAATCGACATATCTAAAATGACTTTGGTATTTCCCTTAACTCCTAAGTCTCTGTAATTAATCAAGAGATAGTCTTGAAGTTAACATAAAGAATATCATTATACTCAAATAATGGTTTGTTGCAAAAATATACATGATTTTTGTCTAATTGCAATCACTGATATGTCTAATTGAAAACAATGTTCATTTTTACTTAAATCAGAGCCGTCCAAAACAATGTCACAACTTTGAAAATATTGAGAAACTGAAGACTGGAGTTTGGTGTTTGACCTCTATAGACCAAGCCTGCCAGGTTGTCATGGCAACTTTTATTCAAAGAGGAAGACTATTTATTGTTTACCCAGAATTTAGAGACACAAGTTGTTAAATTCCAGGGAGAGGCGTTTGGCTCAGTTTTTCAAGGAAAGCTATAAAATAGATGTCACAAAAATGTGACATTTTAGCACTGCTAAATTATTCAAACCACATCTTGTCCTTTATAGGAGTAATGGTACTTAAAGAGTTGTCAAAAACCACTTCAGGCACAAAGATTTTCCTTTTCTGCTCAAAAGCAAACTATTTCTAACGCCATAGAAAATAAAACAAAACACTACTGTGATATGCCTACTTGCCAATTCATTTAGGAAACCAACTGTTACTGAAAGTAGATGGCACAGTAGGTAGCTATAAATCCTATAAATCCATGCTTCTCAAATATGCCTGCAAATGTGCAGCTGTAAACAGAGGACATACACCAAAAATACAGGGAGAAAAAAATCATCATAACTATACCTAACCATTATGCAACAATCAGTTTATACAATTCCTAACCCACTCCTAACCTGTCTTCTAACACTGGTGTTACACTGATTTTATGATGGGTAATTTTTATGGATGCCTTACACTGTCTCATGCAGTAACAGCATTTGAACTCGAAATTTATTTCACTGAGAACTAAAACTAAAACAAGGATAGATTGTATGAACATCACTGTGCTGGTCATTTGAAATATATGAATAGATAGAACATAGTCAAAGTTCTTAGTGAAAGGCATTTAGCATTGAATCAATTGGTTACCTCACAAAGACAGTTTCATAATGAATAAAGGGATATTATAATATTATAAGTAGTTCTTACCAAGTGTTAATATATACCAAATATATTACCTTCTCACATACACGAGTTCACAAAGACTACATAATGCATATAAAGGTAAATGTTTAAAAATAATATTTTAAAGTATTACTTGTATATATTAAGTTCCTCAAAAACAGAGTTAAAAAATAGTTCTCTATGTTCTAAAAAAAATTAATGTTGATAAAAAAACTAAATGAACATGATATAATCATAAAAGAAGAAAAATAGTAAGCTGGTAGTATTCAGGGAAAAAAATTACAGAGATGAATTCACTAGTAGCAGTAAGAAAAGGGGTGTGTGGGTGGCTCAGTTGGTTAAGCGGCCCACCCTTGATTTTGGCTCAGGTCATGATCTCAGGGTTGTGAGATGGAGCCCCACGTGGGGCTCTGCCATGGCTGTGAAGTCAGCTTAAGATTCTCTCTCTCCCTCTGCCTCCTCCCACCAAAAAGAACAGAATAAAAAATAAAAAATTTATTAAAGTAACTTATAAAAATAAATTACTAGTTAGGACTAAATTACAGAAAAAAGAGGTCCTATATATGATATATATACATATATTCAGTAGCATAGAAAAGTTTTTTTAATGTATTAGAAGAACCATTTTTCTGAGTTAAAGAAAGACTTGAATCTATATACCATGCCCCAAGAAAATCTGCAATAGAATTTTGAATATGAAGAAATTTCCTGGTGAGATTTCTCATAGGTTTAAAAAAAAAAAAAAAAAAGCAGCAGCAGGGCATTCTACAAGATGGTGGTATAGGAAGAACCTAACCTCACCTCCTCCCATGGACACACCAGATCTACAACAACATCAGGATCATTTCTCTCTGAAAAAGATCTGCAAGCTGGGTGAAGTGCGTCTCCACAACAAAGGATAAAAAGACCACACTGAGATGAGTTGGAGAAGCAGAGACATGGTCTCACCAAAATCCCACCACTGCTGTGGGGGCACAAAATAGGGAGGGGGTCTCACCTGCTTGGCCATTCTCCTGGAGGAGTGAGGAGTTGGTGACCCACATCAGACACTTCAACCCCTCGAATCTGCACCAGAGAGATGAGCCCCTAAAATATCTGGCTCGGAAAACCAAAAGTGCTGAT